CTGTATTTAGCCAGATAAAACATAGCAACCAGATTGTTGCTGCAGATTGGATTAAGGCCCATCATGGTGTGCACTATCTTCTGATATGGCAAGTTACATTATTCCTGACTGGGGTACAGTTGTGACAGGAGCTGAGAACGTGGGTCTGCAGCAAATCTCTTCATTCAGTCTGGAAAATGCAGGAAATTGTTGCATATAAAAGTGCCCTAAAATGATCTTGGTTCATCTCTGGTTTAAAAAAGACTTCTAGATTTCTACACCCAATATTCAGCTTTTAGACTTTGGGCGAGGCCATTGTATTTACAGGTTGCAACTTTCTCTTCCGTCTTTTGGTTGGAAAGCTAAATAAATTATAGAAGCTAAACCATCATAAATTTCAACAGGTTTCAACATTGCATTCTTAGATCTTAATGTTTGATCAGTGCTACTCTGACCACAAGTGGAAATTAGAGGGGTTCTTCACACCAAGAGATCTTTCTCCTTTACTTCAGATTACATTTATTTAGATTCTGGAAATGTTATTCAAGCATTTCATTGTGCCATTCCAGACAGAAACCACAGAGAAATAGGACCTTAGCTGCAGATTCCTGGTCTTTAGCACTAGGATGCCACTCTTCTTTACTTCTATCCTCCTTTTTAGAAATCTTTGCCACTTCTCTTTGGCGCTCATTATTCAGTCTCATTATTTGGCTTTCACACATCAGCAACCCTCAGCTAGTGACGAGTTAACAGTTCAGTCTGCCTCAAGTTGCCAGATGCACATACTGCTTGTTTCATTTTTATCATCTGACTACATTGCAGGTCCTAGAATTGGTTGCGACATCCTTGAGGGTCAGTTCACCTTTCTATCAGAGATCCCACCTTTTAATACAGCAGCCCCAAAACCTTCTGTAATCTATAAGCTCCCATATGGCTCTATAAGCTCTATATCTATGTTATAGTGTTTTATGGGGTCTTGACATCCATTGACTTCTTCATAGCATTTAAACATCAGATTGTTGCCCACAGAGTCCCACGAGCTGCTGCTGATCCTTGATGTGGCGTTCCCCAAACCACATCCTCTGGCACAGCTTGTTGCTTTATTATCAACAAATGTTTTCCATTCACATTTGTGGTTGGGATCCTTGCTACTAAAAAAAACGTTTTCTCAGCCCATAGGCAAACACAGAAATGTCTATGTCACACATATCTGTGTGGAGAGGCACAGGTGAAAATGATCACTGGGTTGCACTGAGCAACTGATTTTGCTAAAACATAAGGTCAGAAGAGATGGAAGTGAGATCACATCCCTCTGAGAATAAAATAAAAACAGTTGGCAGAAGGGAACAGATTTTACATTTACACAGCAAACAGGATGAGTAGCATCAAGAGGTCTGACTTAGTTAGTTGAAAGGCCTGAAGTTACAAGGAATAAGATTATGTAGCCAGATTAACTGCTATGAGGTTGTACCATAGACAGTATAAGAGATGGATGCAGCACCATGACAACACCCACTGATTCTGGGCTATTAATTTTGAAGTTTCAACATTATTTGAAGGTCATGTTGGTGTTTTAGAGCCAGACATGACCATATTTGGATGAAAAGGTGGAGTGCTAAGTTGTCAGTTAATGGTAGCTCTCTTACACAGTGTGTTTTGTGTCCTGTCTCCCGCCCCTCACCCTCAACTGGTCGGTCACAGCAGATGGCTGTCTGCATGAGGTTTCTTCTTGTTAAAAGGGAGTTTTTCCTTCTCACTGTCGCCAGTTTTCTGTACTTTGTTGTAGAGTCTACAATCTAAAGCACTTTGTGGTGCCTGTTATCGTTAAATTGAACTGAATTGAACTAGGAATCTTAGCTAGCAAGCCTCATCCTTAAACTGTATGAGACATGGTATGGTATTTAGTAACAGACTAATAAAATACTAGAATATAAATCACTGAGACTGAATGGACTATATTACAAAGAAAGCCATAATCTTAGGCATTAGATAACTTTTAAACAAGAATGGTCATTCAGTTAGGCATCGTTCTGGATGCAAGGGAAACCCATAAATAACTTCAGCTGACAAAACTTATGGAGCAAATTTACTTGGAGTAATGAGACAAAATAATGAGAAAAAAAAAGTTTTTAGCCACAACCTTAAAAACTACGTTTGGAGAAGAGTCAACGTTTGGTGTGATGAAAAGCACACCATCCCTGCTATGAAACTTGAAGGTGGATCACTGACATTTTAGGGATTTGTTAGCTACACAGGGAACTTGGTTAAAACTGATGGCAAGATAAATGGAGAGTGTTATCTGAAAATACTGAAGGATAATTTACACTCATCAGCCTGGAAGCTGCGCATAGGACGTATTTTGGTGTTCCAACATGACAGTGATCCAAAACAGAAGGCCAAGTCGACCTTTCATTGGCTACAGAAGAAAAAAGTTCTCAAGTGGCCATCTCAGTCTCCTGACCTCAATGTCATTGAGCCACTTTGAGTTAGGAACTGGAGGCATTTTGGCAAGACGAATGAGCAGCTTTACCATCTGAGAAGATAAAGTGCCTCATCCACAACTACTGTTATGCCTTTTGGTCAAAAGTCAGTAGTTAGTGCATAGTCTGATTAAGTTACATAAGCAAAGTGATAAATAAGTTCAAAGTTAAGAAATATTATAAGTGATTCATGCTAAAAACAGTTAAAATGTATGGGTTTGTAATTTGCTCAGAGTGAGACATCGTTATCACAAGCGATCTTTGTATTGTATGTGCGGAAATGGGAGCGAGGGAGCGCTCTGATCATTAACATATCTTTGACGTATTTTCTCCGTTAATGCCGTGAAAAGTGTTTCGGCAGTATTAAAAGAGTGAACGAGTTCATGTACACGCTAAGAGTGCCCTACACGCTTGTACCTTGGGAAACGTTCGTCTTTGTGAGTATTAATATGTTCAGAGATAACTTTTATATGTGTTTACATGGAGTGAACTGTGATGCTAATGTAACGCACGTGTTAAGCTAGGCTAATCAGTAAGTTGTCATTAAGATGTGTATTAGCTAGCAATTTATTTTCATTTTCTGTATGTTTCAGTTACAAATAAGAATTAGCAAGGAGAAGCCTTGAGAGACATAAGGCTTTAAAGGATCTTCATTAAAAGCAAGAAAGGCAAGCCTTGTGTGGAAGATCTCCTCTATTTTGTTCGCTAGCTGTCTAGCTTCACGTGGTCACGTGTCGTGAGGGCAGCATAGTAAAAAGACGAACAAAAAGACGCCTACTCAGCGGGTTCAAGCATACAGAGCTACTTTAAGCAACATGAGTCTACGCTCAGGAAGAAATTACCTAAAAGACTACGCTGCTGAAGAGCTAGACGAAGCAGCCGGTGGTGAACAGCAAGCAGACGTCGCCACTCAACCAGCTACAATGCAGCAACGGTCTCAGCCATTCGACACCAAGTCGCAGCAATCCAGAACATCGACAAGGCGTTCTCAACGGACATCCTCATCAGCAGCTTCTGCAGCTGCAAGGGCCTACGCCAAAGCTCAAGCAGCACGAGCTCAACTGGCCTTCGCTGAAAAGGAAGCTAATGCAATGAAACAGAGAGCTGAACTGGATGCTCATCTTGCTGAAAAGGAAGCTAATGCAATGAAACAGAGAGCTGAACTGGATGCTCATCTACATGTCCTCCAGTGCCAAAAAGCAATAGCCGCAGCTGAAGCAGAGGTCTCAGCCTATGAAGAAGCAGAGATTCAGAGCGGGGAGCTCTACGGAGAACTTTGTGAGGAAGCTGAGCCCATCAGTACAGTGCACCGCACTAACGAATATGTTCGACAACAATGTGAGTTACTCTACCCAGACACTCAGCACGACCCAGCACAGCCTCCTAAAGGAAATTGCAATGAAGTAGATGTACAAGACAGTACACAAATGACTAACCCTTTTATAACCAACACTCAGACGAAAACACAACCTGTAAATAGAGAAAGGAAACAGGAGCAAACAGTGAACACATGTGTAGTCGACACGTACTGGTCCAACTCCACAAAGCACACCCCCAACCTTAACAACTGTGTACCTGAATCAAGGGAAATGCAACAGTTTGCAAAATACCTAATTCGCAAAGAACTAGTCAGCACAGGCCTTTTGCAATTTGATGACAAATCTGAAAACTATTGGGCATGGAAAACCTCATTCATCAGCGCAACCAAAGACCTAAATTTGTCTCCAAGAGAGGAATTAGACTTGCTAGCAAAATGGTTGGGTCCAACATCATCCGAACAGGCTAAGCGCATTCGCGCTGTACACACCCTCAATCCGGCTGCAGGTGCAAAGATGGTCTGGCAACGCCTTGAAGAGTGCTACGGCTCATCTGAGGCTATTGAGGACGCACTCTTAAAAAAAGTAGAGGACTTTCCCAAACTCACAAACAAAGACAATGTTAAGCTGCAGGAACTTAGTGACATCTTATTGGAGCTACAGTGTGCTAAACAAGATGGTGCACTCCCAGGACTTGCTTACCTGGACACAGCTAGAGGAGTCAGGCAAATAGTGGAAAAACTTCCCTTCAACCTACAGGAAAAGTGGACAACTGTAGGAACACAGTACAAGGAGACTCATAGTGTGTCATTTCCTCCTTTCTCAGTTTTCACACAATTTGTCCAGCGGCAAGCGAAAATGAGGAATGACCCAAGCTTTGCTATGTCCAAGGCCAACACCCATGTCCCTTCTCCCACAGAAAAACTGAGATCATATAGTCGCAAACCTACTGTTTCAGCACACAAAATGGACATTACGGCAGAGCCGGACCAGAATAATCTCAGTCCAAAGAAAATGGAGGAACCGGATCGCCAGTGCCCAATCCACAAAAAAACCACATCCACTCAAAAAGTGTAAGCTCTTTAGAGACAAAACTATTGAAGAAAGACAAGCCTATCTCAAAGAGCACCACATATGCTACAGATGCTGTGGGTCTGTCCAACACATTGCAAAAAACTGTAAAGCAGTGGTTAAGTGTATTGAGTGTGACAGCCTTAAACACTTATCTGCAATGCATCCTGGTCCTACTCCTGCCCCTAAGAGTACTACACCAGGAAACAACGACAATGAAGAGCAAATTGAGAGTTCACCTTCAGTCGAGTCGAAGTGCACAGAGGTATGTGGCCAAGGTGACAGCCCACGTTCATGTTCTAAGATCAGTTTGGTCAAAGTGTATCCTGCAGGCCAAAAAGAGAGAGCTATAAAAATGTATGCAGTAATAGATGACCAGTCCAACAGGTCACTGGTTAAGTCAGAGTTTTTCAGCCTTTTCAAAATCAATGCCAAACCCACTCCATACACCTTAAAGACTTGCTCTGGCAGAGAACAAACCTCAGGTAGGAGAGCTGTAAACTTCTTCCTCGAGTCTTTGGATGGAGAGGTCAACATCCAGCTACCCCCTTTAATTGAATGTGACTCTGTTCCAGACAATAGATCTGAAATACCCTCTCCAGAGATTGCCCAGCATCACCCACATCTTCTTCCAGTGACAGATAACATCCCACCTGTCGACCACCACGCCCCAATCCTTTTACTCCTTGGAAGGGACGTCATCAGGGTCCATAAGGTACGTGAGCAAATCAACGGACCCAATGATGCACCATACGCCCAAAGGCTAGACCTGGGTTGGGTTATTGTGGGGGAGGTGTGTTTAGGAAAAGCGCACAGTCAGTCAGAGGTCAATGTCTATAAAACACACACCTTAGATAATGGACGTGCATCCTATTTTGAGCCTTGCCCAAACACAATTCACGTTAAAGAGAATTATGGGGTCACTATGAATGCAACCTGCATCACAGACGATTTGGGACACTCTGTGTTTGTTAGATCTGAGGGTGATATCAAACAAGCCATGTCTATCGACGACAGAGCATTCCTGACAATAATGGACAATGAAGTTTATCAAAACCAAGAGAACAGCTGGGTTGCACCTTTACCCTTTCGCTCACAGAGAAGGAGGCTCCCTGACAACAGAGAACAAGCCCTAAAACGCCTCTGCTCTCTCCGAAAGACTTTGGAAAAGAGACCAGAAATGAAAGATCACTACATCCAATCCATGCAGAAAACGTTGGATAACAATCATGCTGACCAAGCCACTTGGTTCATTCCAGCAGCAGACCTGCAGAACAGTACCTGGTTCTCAGGTCCACCCTTTCTGTACTCTGACCCACACACAGAACCACACACTGGTCCTTTCACGCTCATCGAACCTGAAAAAGACAGAGAGATACGTCCGGAAATAAAAGTAATGAAAACTACTGTAGCAGAGCCACAGTTGGGTTCTGACCGTTTCAAAAAGTACTCAAACTGGATCACTCTTTGCAGAGTCATAGCCAGACTCATTCATGTAGTTACATCCTTTGCACAAAAGACAAGTGGACAAAGGGGATGGAAAGGTTTCGGTGAGACACCGAGCGTCCAAGAACTCACCCGAGCCCAAGTAGTCATCATTCGAGCTGTCCAACAAGAAGCTTACAAAGGGACACTTGAAAACATTAAAGAAGGAAGGAAGGTCAGTGGCATATTTGATGCACTCAAAAAGCTCAATCCTGTGGTGGACAAAGACAGTCTCTTACGAGTCGGAGGACGTCTTTCCGCCGCCGATCTCACAGAAAATGAAAAGCACCCTCTGATTATCCCATCTACCAGCCACATCGCCATGCTAATTGTAACTCACTATCATGAACAAGTGGCTCATCAAGGAAGACACATAACTGAAGGAGCTATCCGTGGTGCTGGGTACTGGATAATTGGAGGGAAGCGGCTTGTGTCATCTGTCATTCATCGGTGTGTCACATGTCGCAAGTTGCGAGGCAAAATGCAGATCCAGAAAATGGCAGACTTGCCCGCAGACCGAGTCACCCCTGAACCACCCTTTACCACTGTAGGCCTAGATGTATTTGGGCCATGGACTATTGTGACGCGTCGTACAAGAGGTGGTTGTTCCCAGAACAAACGTTGGGCTGTGTTATTCACATGCATGTCAACTAGGGCTGTGCATATCGAACTGATAGAGACTATGTCTGCTGATAGTTTTATCAATGCATCAAGAAGGCTCTTCTCTATTCGGGGCCCAGCCAAGTTTCTGCGCTCAGACAGAGGCACGAATTTTGTGGGCGCTTGTAAGGAATTAAACCTAAACTCCGGGAACAAAGCGGTAGGAAAGTACCTGCAAGAGAGAGGGTGTTTGGACTTTCAATCCCCCTCATGCGTCTCACATGGGAGGCTCATGGGAGCGCCTTATAGGCGTTGCCAGGCGCATTCTGGATGCAATGTTGTTACGAACTGAACAAACACGTCTTACTCATGAAGTGTTGTGCACCTTCATGGCCGAGGTGATGGCAATTATTAATGCAAGGCCTCTTGTCCCCATATCCACTGACCCTGACAGTCCTGCAGTACTCACTCCAGCAGTGCTACTAACGCAGAAGATGAGTGCTGTGTCTGCTCCACTTGGGAACTTTTCATCAGGGCAGTTGTTTGGGAAACAATGGAAACATGTTCAACACCTTGCTGATACCTTTTGGAAAAGGTGGAAAGGAGAATATTTGTCCACCTTACAAAGTCGTGCAAAATGGACAGAGACTAGACCTAATGTCAAACAAGGAGATGTGGTCCTGCTAAAGGACTCCCAAGCCAGCAGGAACGAATGGCCCATGGGACTAATAGTAAAAACATTCCCCAGCAGCGACAAGAAGGTCCGAAAAGTGGAAGTGCGGACTGTAAAAGATGGGACTGTTAAAATGTTTCTCAGAGCAGTTTCAGAGATTGTTGTTTTTCTTGCAGAGACTGAATGAATATTCTTCAATGCTAAATGATGTTTGAATATGTTGTATTGATGTTTATTGTGATATAATGTGTGTATATCAAGCGGGGAGTGTTATGCCTTTTGGTCAAAAGTCAGTAGTTAGTGCATAGTCTGATTAAGTTACATAAGCAAAGTGATAAATAAGTTCAAAGTTAAGAAATATTATAAGTGATTCATGCTAAAAACAGTTAAAATGTATGGGTTTGTAATTTGCTCAGAGTGAGACATCGTTATCACAAGCGATCTTTGTATTGTATGTGCGGAAATGGGAGCGAGGGAGCGCTCTGATCATTAACATATCTTTGACGTATTTTCTCCGTTAATGCCGTGAAAAGTGTTTCGGCAGTATTAAAAGAGTGAACGAGTTCATGTACACGCTAAGAGTGCCCTACACGCTTGTACCTTGGGAAACGTTCGTCTTTGTGAGTATTAATATGTTCAGAGATAACTTTTATATGTGTTTACATGGAGTGAACTGTGATGCTAATGTAACGCACGTGTTAAGCTAGGCTAATCAGTAAGTTGTCATTAAGATGTGTATTAGCTAGCAATTTATTTTCATTTTCTGTATGTTTCAGTTACAAATAAGAATTAGCAAGGAGAAGCCTTGAGAGACATAAGGCTTTAAAGGATCTTCATTAAAAGCAAGAAAAGCAAGCCTTGTGTGGAAGATCTCCTCTATTTTGTTCGCTAGCTGTCTAGCTTCACATGGTCACGTGTCGTGAGGGCAGCATAACTACCACAAAAGACTTCAAGTTGTCGTTGATCTTAAATGAGGTAATAATAAAATATTTGGGTAGTTTCTCATTATGATTTAAAGAGGACAACCACAATTGTTCACCCAACCACTAGCCTTAAGGAAAGAAAAGTTAGGTATTCTCATTTATATACACATAAAAATGACCCCAAGAAATCACAAAAATCACAAATTCTGCCAGGTTATGTAAAATTATGAACACAGCTGTTTGTTCTGGGGGAACCCGATATCACGGCAAAGCATGTGATAGACACGTGTGTCCATTTTACGCTTTGCCTCTCCAAAATGTGAAATGTACATGCATGCAGAAGTAATTTGCAGTAACAGTAGAGGGAGATATTTTATTTGAAGCACAAAATAATCTCAGGAAAGCCTTTAAACAGAAATTACTAACACATTTACATGTAAATACACATTAGCTGCCTAGCTTAATCGTTCCTGGGAATTAAGAGACAGGGAATGTACTTCATATGTTTTTTGCTCACTACCGACTTTCTGGCTTTTAATAAGTTATCTCCCCCTGCTAGTAAAGCATCTTTTGCATGCATGTCCATCTCACGTTTTGGAGATGCAAAGCGTGAAATGGACACGGTGGACCGGCGTGTCTATTTTGCTGTGATATTGGGGACATTTTGTTTATGTCATATCTGCTCTCTTTCTACATTTTTCCCATAAAATGTTTCTTGTAAAAGAAAGACAAAAAAAAAAAAAGAAAAGAAACAAAACTCTTGTAAACCTTTCTCTCAGTGCTTCAAATTATAACCCAGTGCATGCATGTCTGCTTTTCTAGAAACTCAGCCTCAAGCCTTTAAAGGAAAAGTTCTTCAGTGAAGCCTCCGGAGAAAACATAAAATATGAACGAAGGGAAAATTAGGCCAAAGCAAACATAAACCAAGGGCCCTGTGGTTAGACGGTATGGGGGTATTACATGTGGTTAGCTCCGCTGCCAACCTCGTCTCCTGCACTTCCTCCATGACTGCCCTGCTGCCGCCCAGATGGGCCTGCTGGGCTCGGAAACATTTAAACTTAGCAGGGTGGCTAAATCAAGCCTGAACAACTGCCCCATCAGCACAGAGACTGGAGTTTGTAAAATCTAGCTCAGTTTATATTTCTCCTGACTGGGAGGTATCCTGTTTTCCATCTTTTTATGTGGTTTTCTTTGATCTCCTCTCATTATCAGCAAGGCCAGCAAATAATAGGCAAACATGTGCGTGGAGAAGCCATGATGCTACAGAAAGCTTCATTACGCAGGCTGCCTTCCTACTGAGGGCAGCCTGCGTTACTTGGAAGTGGCATTTTGCTCCAGTGAAGATGCTGTAATAGCTTTCCAGAAGTCTTTTTTGTCCCAGCATCCTCATCCGACCTCCCTTGTGTGCTGTGTGTTCTCCACTGTGCGCGGATGGCTGCCCCCTTGCTGGAGAGTGATTGACATTGTTTGTCTGTTTGGTGAGGCGCCTGACATTTCTAAAAGTCACAGCTCACATTAAGGATGAGCCTTCTTCGGGCTTGCATGTGCATGAATTGCCGCCTGTGTCCACCACCACAGCATATCTGTTCTCTATGGCTGTAAACTTTAAGCAGAGCCAGACTCAGATGTCTAGTTTTGCTTCTGACTATGAATAAATATAATTTGATATATTTGGTCTTTATTGCATCTCCTCTCCTGCAGCAGAGTGGCTACGAACCAATCGAAAAACAGCACAGGGCAAACAGTTTAATCCTGCAATGTTAGTTCTGGTGGGCTGATCTTACACATGTTCAGAGCTCCCTGTAGCACTTCCCAAAGGCATCTGCAGTAAAAACTCTCAGAGCGGTGCTTCTGCGGTTCTCTGCTCCTCCTCCTGTCATGTTTTGAGGGAATCTGAGATGCACTGAGAGCTTGATGAATCCCCCACAGTTTAGCCCGTCTCTATTTTTCCATCAGTCTCAAAGCGCTGATGAGAACGTCTATAAATGTGTCCGCTTGTAAAATAAACACAGCAACTGGATCAGGAGTTTATTTTATTTTACTGGATCCATAAGTGTGTAAGTGTGTTTGTGTATGCGTGTGAGTCTGACTGAAATTTCCATGCACTTTCTCCTGTCTCATAAATCTTTTACAAAACACAGCATTGTGTTTGAAAGCCACCATGAGTAAAGCAGGAACTAACACGGATGCAGCCACGTGTACACTCTAAACCAGATTAAATATGACTGTAACACAGCTTTTTTGTGGAGATTTTGGATTTTTATTTTGTATTTTGTTCCCTCATCGTGAAACAAAAACAAACACATAGACATCAAGAGAGCATGACGAGGTGTTCGAATGGCTGAATGAACTCACATTCGCAGGACTTGTTGTCACGTGCAGCGCTTCTGCTGTAGAGTTTTGTGTTGACAACAAAAAGGAAAAGCTTTTGCATCAGTCCGGGAAGGAGATGCAGAAAGTGCCCCTGCGTTTTAAGACTACACTGTTTAACAAAAGCAATAATTTCATGTTATTTGGAGCTCCCTTGCCTCTGTGGTACAGCCGTACTGTGTAGATCTAAAGTCGGCTTCTGTTCCAGACGATCAATTTGGGGCTGACACACACCTCTCCTTGTACACTCATACGCCTTGTTTACAGCTCAGGCAGCTCTGAATTCCTCAGTGTTGGAAGTATAAGTGGAAACACACAGAGGCATAAACTGAAGAGTCATCTCTACGCAGGTGTGAAGTTCATTGCAAAAGCACCGCATTATATTTCAAATGACTCATGTTTATGCATCACTACCTTACCATCTGATGTTAGGAAGAACCGCTTTCAACACATTTTATGGATGTTTAATCCCTTGACATCCAAATTTATCCCTATTTCCCTTTGAAGGTGCTCCAATTAAAATTTGATAGGAACAATAGATGAAAAGTCTTTGTGTACTTGAATCTGCAGTCCCCCCAAGCTCCGTGGAGTTTTTAGCATCTTTCAGCTCACTGTTTTGGTTTACTCTGTCATTCCCAAACCTCTGATCAGTGTCATTTTCAGAAGCGGTGGTAGACGGCTGTTGTTTCTGTAAATGATAAAAATACATAAAATGATATAAATACGGCCCCCGAGGCGAAAGACACATAAAAGCCATCCGACCCATTCATCTAACCGCCCCGCTAAGTGATTACTTAGTAACCGTGATTTGGCATTACTGTATATCGCCGCTTTCATTGCCAGCAGAGTGCTTCCACTCTAGATTTATGGGCTTTTGCCGGCTCTTTCCTCTTCTTCTCCAACTCTTCTGATGAGGTCGCAGGTAACGTGTCCTTCTGATGACTCCTCTGCGTGGGTTTTGTTTGTTTGGTACAGTGAGCTGCCTCTCCCGTGCCAGCCAAACGTTCATCTCCTTTGGAGGCATGCTTTGTTTTGTCTTCCTGCCCAGCATACATCCAGTTTTCTCTGAAGGTTTTCTCAGGCTTCCAGATCTCGTTTTGACTTCACAGTTCCCTTTAACCGACATTTCTCAGTGACATTTCAAACGACACTTTGATGTCTTTTTATAGCGCGTCCCTTCTTTGTAGACATCAGTTAGATTCATTTTTAGATCCTCCGTCAGAGGAACCGGAGGATGTTGAGTGTTAAATAAGGTTAGAGGAGTTTATCTCAGAGTCTGGGACTGTAATCAGAGGACAGTTCCTAATGACAGGTACATTACACTCCAGTAGCTAATTCATTAAGGCATAACAAGCTCCTAAAGCCCAAACTTCACAGGCTGCAGTCGTTGCTCATGCCCACAGACTTAACATTAAAGATAGACATCACTATGATGTCAACCATTAATGGAAAACAACTTTGAAACATTGGGCTTTGCATTTATGTGCGACAGTGAAAATGGGGCATTATCAGCTAAAGCTAGAGCTTCCATAATTCATTGTGTTATTAAACACAATGCTTTTTTTGGCTTAAACCAAAGAAATTAAAAATGAAACAGCTGAGTCCTTCGAACTTCTTCTTCTTGTCCTCCTTCTTCTTCTGTGGGTGGGGGCAACCTCCAAGTGACTGATTGTACTTGCAGTGACCAACAACAACACAACTCTTTGGTGAACCCTTTCGATCCCAAGACGGCACAGGAGGGAGGCAACTTTGTTGTGGTCTGACTGCAACCACTCTGAAACAGACTGACAAGCGAAACTGCGTTAATATATTTGAATCGCTTATCACGGCTCACATTCTTTTATTTTGTCTGTATAGTTTCCTTTTTTAAATCTTTTATATATCTGTTGTATTTCTCATACGCCCTTTTTATAATTGCTGTTTAAATTGTTTTTAATTATCATTCATTTTTCTATTTTATATGTGGATTGTTTTCTTTTTGGCATCTATTGTGGACAGCAAAGAAAAAGTTTGACTGCACAGAGAGACATGATTAATTACTGCGCATATGACAATAAACTTTGAAACTTTGAAACTAAAAATACTTTGAGGTCTAATTTATAAACGCAGACAGATTTTCAGCAGGTTGCAATCAATCTGAATCAGATGAGCGCAACTCATCTGTCATACGTCTCGTTGCAGGGGGCTCGACTCCGCTGGTTGCCAACTGGTTTTATTCTGTTTATATTCTTATGAAAGTAAACCTGCTGAGCTTCTGTGGCATTTGTTAAATTTCAGCCCTGCAGCAACTACGTCACAATTTGGGGAGTTTCTCAATTTCTGCTTCACATCTATGAGGTTCTGGTTGGACTTTGAATGCAATCAGGTTTATGCCATTTGTGATTTTTAGCAACTGATCACAATTAATCATCACAAACAGATTGCATGTAATTGCCAACATGACCTCATTTGTCGCAGACTGATGGCAGACTGATTCTGTCTTATTTATCGCTGTCTTGATGCACTAAAGTCACTTTGAAGATGGCGGCTGAGTGTTAGTAGTTGCAGACTTGGTCTTCATCTGTGAAGCAACCACTCTAGAGGCAGCAAGATTTCAACAGTTTTGGTTATGCTATAGCCTCCAGTCACTGT